AAGGAGGAGGAGGAGGAGGAGGAGGAGGAAGAGGAGAAGGAGGAGGAGGAGAAGGAGGAGATGCAACATCACACAGAAATAATTAATGCACAAATTACAGCCAAATTATTGTTCTTTAATACACACATTCACACACAACACACATTCAAACAGATACACACACCACAAACTGAAACACACACACACACAGACACACAGACAAACAGACACACAAATACACACTCGTACAAAAAATGAAGAAAGTAATAATAATGTATAGAATATGAAATACCTCTCTCTCTTTGTCCAGCAGTAAAAGGTGTGGTCCTTTGTTGTTTATGACCCAGCGAAAGCGGAAAAGCGGCCTGCCTTCGATCCCCAAAAATGTGCCCACCCTTTGACTGACGCGGTTACTGCGGGAGTGAAGACATAAACGTAATTGCCAATGGTTGCTGTATGTACGTATGTATGTATGTATGTATGTGCCTGACAAAGCCTGAGGTAACGTTTTTACATAATTACTGGACTGACCATGGTTGACCCTTGATTAGCATAAATCCCGCCACTACTGGCCTTTTGTTATGTCAACTGATTTGTACTTGACGTGGTAGATTGGGAATGATAATTAATGAGACAAAATTGCCCGCCTTTCCTTCATGATTTAAGTAGCCTAACTCGTCGTGTCCCCTTCTTACCTTTTCGCCGTAGTAAGTAACGATGTCGCTTCTTGGTGGAAATATTTTTAGAACGTCCGACAGATTCTATGTGGGTTTTTTTCTTTCCTACTGTAATATTCTTTCTACTGTTTCTGTCTCTCGCATGAGTTCCCTGCACTAAAGGCCCGTTATTGTGACTACGTACTTCTCTGTACTTCGACCTTGACAAGAAAGTTGCTCGCTAGTTTACCTCTGACACCAGCAACCCTTACCTCCTTCAACCGCAAATATCCTGACTTCTATTCAAAATGGAAACGTCTTTTTTTCCCATTCAGAATCAAGATAAATGTATAAACTTCAAGATAATACTAATAACTTTAAACTTAAAAAGGCAAAAAAATGACGAGCGTCTGATTTAACCTAGTATATACACAGAAATAAAAAGTAGATTTGCAATGGCTAAGACTAGTTTCCAAAAAATGAGCCCAATCCTGAGAAAAAAAAAGAAACATCTCAATGAGTACCAGAAATGAAAATTCTAAAATGATAGGCATGGTCAACCGTTCTATATTGCTGTGAATACTGGACAATTACTAAAGACAGTGAAAATAAAATAGAAGCAACAGAAATGTGGTTTCTTAGGAGACTGCTAAGAATATCGTGGAAGGAAAAGAAATTAAAAGAGGTAGTGATTGATGAAGCCCACGTGGGACGCTCACTGTTAAAAACGCCCAGGAAAAGACAACAGGAGTTTTTGAGACACCTGAATAGACATAAGGGTCTTGAACATCTAGCTCTCACTGGCAAAATTGAAGGCAAACGAGGCAGGGGTAGGCCCAGAGCAATCTATTCAGAGAATCTAAACAAATGGAGTACTGGGAAAGATCAGGGAAACGTAGCTTTTTTTAAAAGAGCATCCGACCATAGGAATGATGGAGAACCATGATCGCCGATGTCTATCGTAGATCTGTCACTGAATGAATGAATAGACACATCAATAATGGTTCTGCAACATATCTAGCTCACGTCCAACCTCCCTGAATAAGAGGACAAAAACACTTTTTTTTTAAAAAGTAAGTAAAAAGAAGAAGCCGTGATTAAGTCCTGTTTACCCTTTAATTCTCCTGGCTGCTTGAGCTCCAACCAGGAGAATGAAAGGGTGGGCAGAAGGAGAAGTAAAAGAGGTGATTGTAGGCATGATCAGCAAGCCAACGCTTTCGTAGATCCTGGAGAGGAGGAGGTAGCAGCTCTGACATGTTACCACCTGCAAAGATACCAGGTCCTATTCTCCAACCAAGCCAGTAAGTTAGTTAGAGTCCATGACAGTGCCTGCTCTATGAAACTTCAGAGGTCGAAGAAGTAATGAGTCCAAATTAAACAATAATGCCAGATCTAAAGCGAATGTTGATGACATGAGGTTTAGATGGCTGGTCTATGGGGTGTGTCCTTGAGCTAGACACAACTAACTCTGGCATAAAGAACAGGGCGCTGTACAGTGGCGACAAGCAATGGCATGTGTGTGAAATTATTCTTCTTTGCTGTAACAGTAGTGCATATTTAGTATTTTTAGTATGCATAATTTTGATTTATGACTTATGATGTAGGTCAAGATTTCTTGAAACCCTCGAAATCTAGGTTAGCCTGCTTGTTCTTAAAAGCGATCAATTCACAATTAAAGACTGATTTGAACCGAGTGAACCCATTCACCTCGAAGGAAATCAAAATCATACTGAAAGAAAAAAAAAAGAATTAAAAAAAACAACAACCTGACAGGATGCACTAAAGTGCAGCATCATGGAATCCGGACGTATTTTTGTGATTTGAGAACTTATTTCCTTTTTTCCTTTTTTGTGAGGCTTTGTTGCTGATATCTCATGCTGTCGTAAAAGGATGTAGATCTATGTGTGTTGAGATGGTAGTGTAGTCGCGCAACTCTATTTGCTGATTCTTTACCGTAAGTGAGAGGTCAAATGACTGGAAAACAATAAGATCAAGATCAATATGTGGCACTACGCGATGAAAGCAGACACTCGTCAATATTTGGGCATGTCGAGTTATTCAATTCAATGGTATCATCTGAAATCTTTATTCATTTGTCTTGCTTTCAATGAAAAAAAATACCTATAGATCTATATCTTGAATAGAAGTCAAAATATTTGCGATTGAAGGAGGTGAGGCTGCCTGGTTTCAGTGGTGAAATTTGCCTGTCAATGGCCACCAAAGTTTGGTAACTCCAATAGAAGCTAGAGAGTCCTTGAAAACTGGGAAATAGACATATTTTGTGCTTTTAATCAAAGTTTTCCAGTAGAATTGACATGAAAGCATATTTTTGTATGGACAACCCCCCCCC